CTTCGCCAGTTACATTGTATTGGTAAAAATGCATTCAATACCTTAGCAACTTTAAATACAAGTCGTATGCGTGGCGAACACCAGCAGGGTTAGTCACTGTCGAGCGCTTACTGCATTTTATTTGAAGCCTATATCCGGTTGACTGAAGCTGTTGCAACCTTCATACTTCATTATAGTCAGAAATTCAAGTCGAGATCTAACTTTTCGTGGGGATAATTGAAATGGCGTGTTCCTGAAAACCACTTGTACTGGATTTTTCCGGGGTTTTATGTCCGTAAGTGAGTACCTCACCTTGTAATTGCTGGGGTGGTAGGAAACTGAATTACAAAGAATCTGTACACATATATTTTGAGTTTGAATGATCCTATTATCAACAATAGCTTTGCAGTTCTTATAGTCATTTTTGTTATATTGATTCGTGGGCGGAGGTGGTGCAGTACCAAGTGACGCACTATCCACACCCATGGTCAGGGGCTCGTATCCTGGACCGATGTCTGCCTCGATCAACCAAGCCTTCCCTCCCTCCGTGGTCGGTTCAAGGCACAAGACTCATATGTGAGTGTAAAAACACTGACTTGTACATCGCCTGGCCACCGCGAGTTATTGTATAGGCGACATGCGCATTCAAACTGCCACTGCTATCCGGAATGGAAGTCGAATGCGAAGTGCATCCCTCGTGAGGGATTGATTAATGCTCCAAGACTTTATACTTCACTTTATCGTCTATAAATATTTCATAAAAACACACTACGTCTTTGGTATACAATCTTTTTAAAATGTTGCTTTCTCGACAAATTTTCATTTATTACATATGTTTAATGAATATATTGTCACTGATTGGCTCTCGAGTTACAAAACTCCCAAATGTAAGGTTAAGATTGCCAGCCTTGTAACGGGCGAATGCTCGGAAAAAAGGCCCTGTCAGTCAATTCGCTATCAATTTCATGTACTTGTACCGGAAGTGATAAATTCTATCCTCACGTAAGGTGGGCGAATTATAAGCAAAATTTCGGCTTCGAACGGAATTGACGCGAACCCGTACTTTATTATCATTTATCAATACCGAGGCGGAATTACAGCCGTTAAAAAAACATCAGATCAAAAAAATTCTATCCTCACAGTTTTTACAATCTCGCTTGAGAATTCAGTTGTAGCTCTCGTGTAGTCTCATTTAATTAATGACCACCCTGATGAGCATTTGTCGGTGTTTCTTTCTGTTTTACAACGGGTGTTAATTAGGCACAGCGATTAGGAGGAATTTAAATCTGTTTTCGATACTTCAAGTGGAAAAAAAAAGTTGGCGAATTTTCCAAAGAGTTCACGAATTCACGGTTTCAGAATTTCTATATTCACAATATGTATGCACATAAATATAAATATCAAATACTTGTATATGTATATACTCATACCCTAATGCACTAACCCTTGCCCAGTATGGTAAATTAGTAGGTCTGATCTTTCGGCAGTTTCAGAGAATGAGGGGGAACTGATTTCTTCAGTGGTAAGAGATATCAATACGAACGCTCGAACCCAATAGAAGTTGGATGGAGTGTTGCATATGAGGATTAGTGGAGCTAGGTGTCCTTGGCTATGGTGCTAATCAACCTGTTTACTACTCTGGTACATAAACAGTAAGATAAATGGTAGGAAGCAAGTTCGAAGGATAAATCAGTAAAATCCTCTCCGATTAGAGTCGGAGCAGAGATAAGGCAGGGAAAAAAGGGATGCCGCTTTCACTCTCAGTTTTTTAGGGCTCATTCAATGTACGGCTTATACTCCATTGGAAAAATTTTCTACTCCTTCCGGCTCGGGTACTAGAGCAAAATTGTCTGATTGAGTATGATGAGGCCGCAGTAAGCGAAAATGGTTTCGAAACTTTAGTGGAAATTTAAGATTATAGTTGAAGATCCTATGCGTGGGGGAATGGTAAAAACAGAAGTACGCCATGGTCCATCACAGCTTTACAAACCACCTATTTCGTTAACGTCACAACGTTAGAAAGTAGTCTTACTCATGGAAATTTTTGGACTTTATCATCGAAATGCTCTGAGGTTCTTGCGGCAAGCAGTTAATGTGGCAGTTAAACTTAAGCTGAAATATGTCCGTTAAATATCGATAATGAATGTCTCCTGAGCTCTGCCGATGTTCATAGAGAAATTTTATGCTTATGGCCATCTCGTGCTAGCAAGTCGGAAATAAATAGCGTTTCTCCTCTGTAATTTGTAATTGTGATTTATACTAAGCAATTCAAGAAACTTCCTAAAACTTCATCTGCTCAAAGTGGACTTTGTATAGAACAGCATTGAGATGGTGTCCCTTCATGTATTTTGGCTTGCTTTATGAAATATGTGGCAACGTCACGTTGTGATTGGTTCATTGCCTTTGGTAGTCAGTAATAGGTAAGAACGCTACGATGGTAGCAATCAGCCAGAGTAACTGCAATAAATTTAACTAAGAAAAGAAAATTTCAGGTTTGATACGTTCATTATGGATCAAAGTTAGGCCACAGGAACGCCGTACCCAATGTTAAACTGACTTATTTGTGTTTCTTTATTTTCACAAATTCATTTCATTGCTCCCAAGTATATATATATATATTCATGCTGGCTTCAATTTTCAAAAAGTCTGAGCAATGTGTGTCTGTCGTCTAGTTCAACTGAGATTAACACAGAAAATGCGTAAACAAAAGGCCTAGAGTGTAAGCCAGCCCACAACCATCAATCAAAACTACCGTACTCGTGCCATTACGGTAGTCACTGATAGTACTGGTGGCGCTCTAACTCTGGATTTTTGATACAGTTTTGTGAAATTTATGCGAGTCTGGTTTCCTTTTCTGATAGCCCTTAAAAGCAAACCTTTCTTTTTTTGCTAAAGTACACGGAGTTGCGTAGTAAATTAAGGATTCTGCCACTAAAATACTGCTGCATCCTGACTTCTTGATCCCTTCTCAGAGCTAAAAAATTGTAGGTTACATCTATGACTAAGATCGAGAAAAAAACCCACTCTAATCGATGGATAACCGGAAACAACGTCAACATCGAAGGAATCTGGCAGAACTCGGCTAGCCTTCGACAATGCCGAGAAAATTGACGTGTACGCAGTCTCTAGTGACTGACATGTCATTCCTATGAATTGTTTTCGTACGAAAGGCCATGAAACCCATAGGAAATAATTGTAAGCAATTTTTCAAAGGCTTTTCAAATGCATCAAAACGCACAACATGTCTAGTGAGGAAGATCTTTTGCATAAAGTGAAAGCAGCGGTGCTGAATGTGGTATTAGTGGGGGAGGCTCGAATGCCGACGCCCTTGATTTGTATATTGGAGTTTTCAGAAAACCTTGGTTAAACTTCTACAACCTTCTACCTTCCCTGTCGCATTCGAGGGCGTCATCGGCTTTGCTTCGGTACTTGATGGCTCCACGGTCTTTAATGTCCCCTAAATCGCGGAAATGGCTAGTACTTTAAGGCAAATTGGCAAATTTGGGGCTCCAGTTGGAACCAATCAAAAAAAGTTATCTACATGGGAGGTCGCATTAGTGTTGGCGGATTTAAGTGCGTTACTGTTAGGCGGGATGTATTGAAGTGAAATTTTCCGCGAAAGCTGTGTGAATATCAATCATTTGTTGGATATTTTCTGCTCAATGTTGAAAAACTTGACTTCTACGAACACGTCTGTCCGGGCGGATACCGCTTTGTTCGAGCAAAAAAAATGTTGTTCGGAATTCTTATCTATTGATTGCATTTTTGTTCATTCCGCTCTACCTATCCTCCTTATCTTGCAGCTCGGCAGGGTGCGGAAAGTTGGTTTTTAGGGGAATTGTCTGTCGTTGGATTGGTCAGCTACTTCTCAAGTTACTCTTTGCCACCTTCTCAAAATCTTCTAATAACAGCGAAACGTTACCAGTAACTATAAGAATATCTGACCAATCCGCTTCAGATTCTGTTGCACCAATTCTTCTGCCGCACTTTTACAGTCGTCGTCGCTTTTAGGGCATCATATTGGGAATGTGTGAAGGGGTGCGCTGATTGGTTGCTGCAAGCAATGGACCAATCAGGAGCGCATCACGTGCACACCGCGCCATTCCATGAAAGTCTGCCGGGGTATCTTTCAAAAATAGGACTTTTATTATTGAGCCTCAATTTATTCAACTAACACCCTGTTGAGCACCATATACATAGAACGTGGAGATGTGATTATCGTATTTTTTTTNTTTTTTTTTGCATCACCTTACCTTTCTTTGTGCCCTGGTCAATTGATCAAGTGTATTGAGATCCACCATCTCAATCCTGTAGTGCAAGGAAGAACATTGCATGACAACGGCGTGAAATCGGATATGTGTGTAATCGGTCCGACAAGTTGGTCGTCACGAACATAGGGAGGACTTCCGAAAACCACAAGCGTTCAGCCACCGTGATAAATCGCTTAGGCAGCGTTGACATGCATCCACCAAGGTCATAAGTCTCTGTCACCAAATAAGATATTATGCCCTTTGTGCTCTGGGAGGATCCCTTTTGCCTGGCACTTGATGAGGAGAAGAACGAGGAGGAGGAGGAGGAGGAAGAGAGGGAGAAAAGCGACAGCAGCAGCCGATCCGACGTGCCCCCCGTGGTATGATGGAAGAGCGCCGGAGGCGTGGCCGGCCCGTCATATCACCAGCTATCAATTGCATTAAACTGCCAGCATTGTTTGCGTGGCTCCGGAGGCCGTTCCTGTATTCACCTCAAGCCGCACTCATTTCACCTCAACTGGTGCCTGGCCGTTTCCCACCTTGCCATCACGTCAGGGTTCTGACGTCCTCGCCATTGTCGTCACATCAGTGCCCGAATTCCATTGAACGTCACACGCTGTCCACAATTTGATCGTATCATCACCGTACTATGTGAAACGACTCGAACTTCTCACAGTAGTCCACGTCGTCTCATCGACTAGCCAATTGCCACACCTTACACGCCATCCTATTGCCTGAACCCCCCCTCTTACGAGCAAAATGTCGTCAAAAATGCCGGTTCAAGATGAAATGGAGTACCTACCGCAAGGACTCGCCTCTCATCCTATGGTACAGCGACGAGCGTCCGTTTTTCAAGATCTGATTACTGTATTCCGTAAAAATACTTTCGCAAGAATCAGTCGCTCTGGTTCGTCTTCCGATCACAATCGTCACAGTAAAGATGATTTCTTTCATCACTTCGGAAAATTTCACTTCCAGTAAGGGATACTTTCTTCGTTTTTTCATTTTCCGTTACTTGCACTTGTCGATGAATTTATCGATTTTTTCGTTCTTGTTCACTTGTAGAACGAGTGCAGTGTAATAGGGCTAGAATGATGAGCCTTCATTAGAAGTTGCAGCTATAAATCACAGAAGGCTTTGATAACTAGCTGTACCAGGGAATCTCATCCCTATGAGTTTTTATTTGTTTACTTTTTTTTCGAATTGTTAGTGAACTTGTTATCTTTTACTATCGTTCGCGTAACCAAGTTTTTTTTATACTTCCTGTAGTGCCTACTACGGTATCGGGATGCTTGTAGAGCACTTGGATGCGATCTTTTTACCTATTTTTTTGACACTGGAGCTAGGATTAATTCTGAGGGAGGGATCTGTTGAAAACGGGGGCAAATTGATATGAATTCGAATCAAACACGATTAACACGTGTCATGTTAACGAGGCTACGTTACGTTTTACAGCGTGTCTTCCAACCGCCGAAACGGCCAGCCGGACCTGCGGTGGTTCTTCGGCGGCCGGATAAGCATGGCTGGGCTCGGGCCGGCTTTGCTCTGGCTGGCGCCGATGGTGGTGGCATTGGCGTCAGCAACGGCAACAGCAGTTGATCCAATTACAACCAAAGCGCTCGTGTTTTCTTGACAAGGTTTTTTGTGTTGAGGAGCAAAATCACTGACCGATGTCCATCAAACGTCTCAGGTTACCAGTTAGGAATCCCTCACAACCCCCTCAATACGCAAGCATCACTTAAACACAGCTCAAGAACTTACTCTGTATTAGGGGGACAGAAGTATGTGTCCTATGTCTCCAGACGTACTGAAAATACAAACAGAGATTGGAAGTATGTATTGGAAGATATAGTTAATCTTCTCCTTTCAGTGAAACCGATGCGTTCCTTGGCAAATCGGACCATAGGGATGAAACTGATGAAGATGGAAAACCCCTTACTCGGCAGGTGAGAATGGAAATCATTTGATTTGTGATTTAAGTTATCTGCTGGGCAAGGTGGTTTATGGCGCGTATGGATCAGCAGAGGGTATTGATACAGGGTGATCATGTACAAATGGATCAGACACAATTATTCCTGGAGGATCTTTCTTTTTTTACCCCATCGATAAGACGATATTGAACGAAATTCTTTTCTTCTGTTTCCTTTTTCTTGTATTTTCTTAACTTGCTATTCAAATTCAAAGAAGGATGACAGATGAGAACGGCGAAAAACGCGAAAAGGAAATGGGGAGGAGGAACGTTCTTTCGATAGTAAAATATGGAGTGCAGTGCAGTTCCACTGCTAAAGGTAGAGCAAACGATTTTTAGCATCCTTATACACTAGCATGATCATCTGGTATTCTCTTCATAGTTTAGTAGTTGGGACTAAGCTCTTACACTTGGTTAGGATCTGCTGTAAAACTTTGAATATCGGCTTCAATTTTAGTTTGAAAATAAAAGACTGATGAATCTCACTGTCTGAATCTTTCGTAATTCCTTCGGTTACTTACCGCTGTTTATCGAGAGCTTGTAAGGTTGACCTGAGTAAATGGGTGAACACTCCAGTATCTCAAAAATACTGCTCTATCACTGTTTGTCAGGATGCTAGACTTTTGAGAGACCGCGTGTAAGAAACATCTGGAAATGTCGGTCGTGATGACCTAGTTATAACGCTACAACCGCAATGACATTTTTTGACACACATCGCATTTCAGCATAGGCTCAATTATGGCTTCAACTTCAATCTCATAACAGAAAAAACAATTTTTGTGTTTGACATGAACCGTCATTTCTTTGCTGCACATCCTTTTGAATGTCGAGTTAAGGTGCTACTGGAGCGAATACGTCAAAAGAAGGAAGTCATCGGAAAGTTACGATGCCAGCCATGGAGTATGTCCCGCAAGAAGCGAACTTTGAAGTAGGCATTGTCCTTTGACAAGTCACAGAAAGTAAATAATAAACGAATTAAAAATATCCCTGGTTTCAGACTAGCTCAAAAATATCTGGAGCAACATGAATCGCGCGTATCCAGGACGCATCTTTATATGGAAGAGTTTCGGAAACGTATGCGTTTGTTGAAACGAAGTTTCTCGAACTTCAAAACCTACTTGATACCATGGGAAGGCAAAATAAAGCGGATTGAAAGTATGTTTTGCATTGGCTATTACATTCACTTCTTAAAGGCACAGTTCACGATAATATTGGGGCAACTAGTTTTAGAAAAAAAAGTAATGGAAGTAGTAGTCCAGAATAGTGTAAAGATTGGAAGAAAACGGAAGAATTGGCGTATTCAGAGAATATAAGGCTTCGAAAAAGCGGTAAGGTTAAGGGTTGAACGAGAATGTGCTTACGAAAATTGCATGGAAGGGGTATTTTGACGAGCTATCCAAAAGTGTATGCCATTGTGTATAGTTGGCCATAGTAAGCTGCCTGTATGCAACGCGTGCGTCCCGATGTGGTGGTGCAACCTTTACAGCTTCTACAACGCCGTGAAAACTTGTCCGCCTTCGGGTGTGTACGTCAAGTGAGCCGGTCTTAGTGCCCTAATTACGCCCTATCCGGCCAGTTTTTTAACATGAAAACGTCTAATGTGATGTCCTAGGAAGTTACAGGTTCATCCGAGAGACACATCTCCGAAACCCTTTTTATTGTGATCTGCGCCTTTAACAATCTCGTCTACTCATCTAGCTTTTTGTGAATATTTGGTGAAAATTTTTGTCAAACCACGTCAAACCACAAAATCGCCCTAAAACATTTCACGTTGTCCAGAAGGAAGCAATAATACCAATTTTAGGCCATTTCGGTTCCGTCGTCTCATCCTATTTTACATTTTTACGATGGATCGTGTTTGTGAACGTAATTATCACATTGATCATTGTCGCCCTTGTCGTATTGCCTGAGGTGAGCTACAGCTATTACTGCTAAGCTTTATTTCGAAAGTAAACGCACACATGTGTGTGTAATGGGATTTCTTTGTATTTTTCAACGCTGACTGATCGATCTATCACCTAGGCGTTGGCTGACGCTGCAGCGGACGAGGGGCGACGTAACCGAACCGAGACACGGAAAGAGATCCCGGCTAACGAGCGTGTACATGCCGATGAAATCGCCGTCGTTTGGCACTACGATGTACGTATAACGTTGGTCAATATGGCAAGATTTCCGTTCCGACTCATGAAAAATTACTTTTACTACGAAGTAATTCGGAAATCAATAGTCGTTCCTCGAAGAATATTAGACGAACGGCCAACAGCACAGTCGGGGGGCGTTACGAGATTTATTAGGGTAATGCGGTCGCTTTACAATTTATTCAAGATGGTAATAAAATCTGGGACTACACATTCATGTTCTGTAATTAATCTAGCCCTTAAGAACACTGGAGCATCAGTTTACACGACTGTGAGCTGCTAACATTATTACAGATTCCTAAAACGAAATAGTCCATCTGCCGTTTATTTCTAATCGAAATGCCTTATTTGCTTAATTGTTCCCCACTATTTAGTTTTTCTTTTGCGATTTCAAATAAGATGCATTACAATGGAAATCTACAGATACCTAGATACAGCTGGAACCGTTCCTGGCCCTACTACATATGGGCCCTCTCATTCTCCTAGTAGACACATAAGGACTGCTGAGCTGAAATTTCTGACCCTAGCTGATTATCTCGGAATGATTCATACGGATTTGTCTATATAAGTATGAGTAAATGACACGAATATAATTGGATGTATCGCTCAACGTGGTCTGACAACTATTAGGAATTCAAGGTTAGGTTATGGTTGCTCACTGTATGGAATTGAACTGCTAGTAGTCCTACATGTATTGAGGCAGAAGTCTCGCAGTTCCTTGACGGCATGTTCGAAAAGAAAATTTTGCCGTGACAGCTAATATGTATTCCAACTGCAGTACAGTTTTGTTATACAGAGCTCCATAATCAATAAATTTTAAAAGGCAGATTTGGTAAAATATTATACATAAGGCAAAAAAGTTGCGGTTTTTTGGATATAGCTGTGCATTTATGTGTTTTTTCATGTTATGCGAAGTTTTAAGGAATGCAGGGTGTTTTTTCCCCAATGTCTTGGGAATGGAAATTGAAAGAAATAGAAAATAATTCTCATTCCAGGGCTATCTACGATACTCACCGCTATTTTATGGGTACTATTCGGATGATGAGTTTCTGGGACAAAAATATCCGTTACCGTTGGCATACTTCCTTGTCACCATTTTTATATTTGCATATAGTTTCTTCGCCATTCTCCGGAAGTAAGTTCTACTTCATGATTGTTCTAATTGTATGCATAATTTTGTATGAGCAGTACTGTAATTAGAGCTTAAATTCGACCAGTTCGATTTGGTCCACTACTGGTGGGAGAGTCGAGATCTGCTCAGCTTCAAAGATGGGGGAGACGAGATCTCCTCAGTTTTTCATAATTCACGTTGAAGTCTCAAAGTCAAGAACAAAACAGTTTGTCCAGAATAGAAACTATGAGTTACTACACAACGTTTCCAACGCTAAGTTCCAACAAAGTGGGGTTTGAAAACTTACGAGACCAGAACCTGTTGGGTGCCTGAACAAAGCATCTCCTCAATTTTTGAACAAATTTGGAACTAACCCGTTTTCTAGGATTCATTTTGAAGTAGCATCAGATCATTCTGCTTTGATAAATCTTCAACAAGAAATGTCAATTATAAACTACATCTCCATTTATGATTCATGTTGATCTGTTTTCAAAAATGTCCTTGTTTGTAAAAAAAAAATACATGATCCCTTTCATGAACAACCGAACAAAATCGGCCCATTTTCCAATGATTCTCTGTTACTGCAGTACATTTAGGCACCGCGCCTTTACAAAGTCATTTAGGGCTTTTTTATGTTGTGCTACAGAGCCAAATTCTCTTCATATGTGCCAATGCATTTCAGAAATGTGTTTTTCTACGATGAGTGAAAAGCATTGAGGCGGCTGTCAGACGTTGTAGCCTCTGCTAGTTGTTTAATTGTGCGATATCCATCATTTTCCTCATCTCTCCGATTTTCCAAAATCTCTGAATGGTCAACCTTGAAAACTGTTCGTCTTTCTGAGAAGTTTTCGTTAAAATTCTTGTCACCAGTTTTTGTAAATTCTCATCGGAAGCTTTGAACAACTTTAGTTGATGCTGTGAAGCGAATTATTGCCGTGCAAAATCGCAGAAACTAAAAAGTAGCAATACGATGAGGAATATGTATGTATCAACGACCGCCGCCAAACGCCCTCCCGACAATACCAGTTGCATCTGTTCTTTTATAACCGGGCCTGAACTTATGAAAAAAATCTAAATTTGCCTCCAATCAATGCTCGTAAAGCGTTCAACGTTCATGCAAATCAAAGACTAGTTCCAGAGAAAAAACATGGAAGAATGAATGTATATTGATCGTTATCAGTAATAAGTTTATTGTTGCTGACGCGAAGGAACATTAAAAATCAATGAAAAATTTGAGTCTCGTTGGTTTCGATTATTTTTCCACAAATCCAAAACCGAGGTAAACACAGAATCTGAATACATCTCAGTTTTGGGAATTTTCTCATTTAAATTCTATCAAATACCGCATTCATAAAGAAGGTAAAAATCGATATTGATTGGCCGTCAAAGCCTATCTTTAGTTATTCTGTATTATATGCATATTTGTTGGCAAAATCTATATTAGTGTATGACATAGATAGCTTTCTCACCGAAAATAAAAACATATCTAACGCTCTTATTAACTGCATATTTTAAATGGACCGTCATACGGTACTTCCTTACCAATTCAAGTGGTACCATGGAAACACTCGCACATCTTGCACCAATGAAAGTTTCTTCATCATTGTAGTAGCAACAAGAAGAATACTATAAGCACTAGAAAATAATATATAATAAAATATAAAGAAATTTTTTTGATATATTTCAGATTTTTCGACTCCCCTACATGTCCGTTGAAACAACGTTTACTTTTCCATTTTAGAATGGCCGCCAACGCTCGTATGTCAAAATTATCCGGCAGTAAAGCCGAACAATATATTTTTAATTGGCGTGTGTTCACTGGATGGGACTACACAATCGGTAATCAGGAAACGGCCAGTAATACTGTAATGGCAATTGTCATTAAGTTGAGGGTGAGTACAGCTAACGGTACAGCAACGGTGGCCACTGCAATGAGAAAATACGCTAGTTGATCATGACTCATGGCTACTTTGACGGAATCTATGAATCGTGCGTCATTTAGCAGTACAGTTTTATTTTTCGGTATTCATTGGAGTTTTGTCAAAATAGGGAATTCCTTGGCAAGAAATGAAATAAAAAAATCAGAAGTCTTCTCCACTACTGGAGTAGTGAATCGATTATTGATCACAGTACCCAGAATAGCCGCAACGCGACCGCCCCCATATCTTGCAATTTTTCTATTTTTGAGGGTTGACCAAACAGATTGATGATAATAAGTTCATCTCTTCACGCTTCGATTAGTACCAGTTTAAAAAGCGGAAAGGTTTCTTCACGGAGAGAATGGATTTTGTTCTATAAATGTAAGCGAGTTTCTGGTGAAATTCGTACATTTTCATGCGAACCTGAGCAGTCCGGCCCAAGGTAGAGCAACAGTGGGAGAAGTACGGACTCCCAACAACTTTCATTGAGCATATGCGTCTTGTTTTCTCATTAATGTGTTTTTTATTTCAAATCACCGAAATTGAATTATGTATTATTGATTAACCAGCAATTTGTGACGTTACTATTATTTCAAGGAATCAATCGCCGACTGTCGTGTATCGCTCGGGTCGAAATTTCGGTGCCTACAATTTACGTTACGTGTAATAGCCAATGTTGTCATCTGCGGGATGCTTGCCTTCTCAATATACTGTATTTCGTTTGCTGTACAAAAATCTCAAACAGCCGTTGAACAAGAAGGCAATCTCTTCACAAAAAACCAGGTACGTCCACGAGCGCCACAATATCATAGGCACAAAATTAGGCTAGATTTACCGCTGCCTACCTCAAACTTGTCTCTTCAGGTACCTTCTGTTGTAGCAACAATCACTCACGTCTTTCCTATGATTTTCGACCTTATCGGACGTCTCGAAAATTACCATCCACGAACAGCATTGAGAGCTCATTTAACCAGGTTTATTATTGCTTACTGACTCTTTTATTAACAAATGAATATGCTCGTCAATGGTGGTTAACTGAACTACTTCTCGGCTTTTCAAAAACTAATGTATAACTATTTTCTAAACTCATCGGAACAAGGCACAGGAAAAAAATCGTTGATACTGTATATATGCCTGTCCCTACGACCAACTTTCACGAATTCCTTTACTGTACTCCCATCATCCTAAAAGTATCGATTGTAAAGGGGATAAAGTTTATTGGATAGGATGTTTGTTGCAGAGATGCCGAACACTATTGGTTGAGATTGGCGTTCTCAATCGATAATGATTGGATTTATCGGGTTTTGCATAAAGGACTTGGAGCATATTACATAGCGTGACGCCAATTGCTTATTAATATAATCATGAAGTTTTAGCCTTAATAGCATGATAGGAAATCATTGGAAATTTCTATTTTTTGAGCCAGTTCAGGTAGAGTCAGTCAACATCATAGCCTTCTAATGTTCCATCATTCGAACGAATCTGTGTTTGACATGCTTAGCCGATAGATTTTCGAAGTTTGAAAGTCGACTTTCTAATGTGATTCCAGGGTACTTGTCCTGTACGTGCTGAATTATCTCACACTGATAGTAGCACTGTTCGATAAAATGGACGCAATCCGGAAAAAAGACCCATCATTAGACTTTTCCATTGCACGAGAGAAACGCCAACTCGGAGGACGTAATCCCGTTGGTTATATACTATTGAATAAACTGACCTGTTTGACATCTTTTTTTTTGCAGAACTAACTTTTTACAGAACATTCCTCGACCTCCACCATATGCCAGTCGTACGTTCGAGAATCGAACAGATTTCCTTCGGTTCATTGAGCGAAGTACACGACGTTTCGATCAAAATCGTACGACACGATCCGCACCAACAACACCGTTTACCGTACGTTTGTTAANTAATCGATATTCGATTGGATCAACATTCGTATACCATGAATACGGCACTATATCCCCTTGCGCACTATTCATGTTTTTCGAGCAACTTTCAGCATTGGTAAGGTGCAACAGCTCAAGCTGCAGCTTGTTTTCCGAACTGCAATATCCTGTCAATTGATGACACTTTAGCCACTTTCTGCTCTGGACGAGACTATGCATTTTCCATTAGTCGATTATCGATTTTTTGCTCTCTTCTTGAATCCTGTAATCCAAGGGCTTCGCTCTTTCAGGTAGCTCCACAGTTTGGTCCGTTCAACGTGAACAATCCTAATGTGATCATGCGGAATGGCACACTCAGCAAGATTTTTGAAGCTAAACGGATTGGTCCCGCACCGTTGCCCGTTTACACTCCACCTCCTCGAACGTATCCACCGTATGAACCTGGAAAAATGAAAGAGGTAATGTATTCATCGTTACTCTCTGCACCTCGACAATGGGCTTCAGTAAACTGAGCCTATGGCCAGGCGATATTGAGCACAGAGGAGAGGGAATCGAACCACATTCATACAGGTAGTAGGTGGCGCAATTTGATGCTCACGCTTAGTCAACATTTCATAGGGCTCCTTTGACAAAGTGTTTTTGTTTATATGAACCGAGCGGTCGAACTTCATACACTTAGCTAGGCAGTACTGTAATCTGGCATGAAGTCTGGCAAGAACGAGAAGGACTACTCGAGGTATATTGAGAAAAAACGTTGTTTAGCGGAAAGACCTTAAACGTTCCATCTTATTGGAACGCTCATCCTCCTTTTGACGAAGTTCCGAAAACTCGTTCTTGTCACTGTTCATGGCGTTCCCACTCGCTCGATTGCCTACTTACTCTGAGCCGTGTTTGCATGCTCCGATCTGACGGTTCAGTGAACACGTCGACAGCTGTTATATGCCGGAAACGTGCTGACAAATTCCTTCACACTGTGGTTGCTCATTGCCGCTTATTTCAAGCATGGATTGGTAGAGAGTTGATNGGGGGCATTTTTTTCACCTTCTATTCAATCGTGTGATACCTGTACCCCTTACAGAAGTCACACAGACGACACTTCGATTGTGAAGTAGAGTCCAATGCTTGAGCGCATCTCAAAACGAGTTTGATAAAAACCAAAAAATTTCAAGATAGGCTTCATCATTGAGCTTCACCAGAGGCGCACCTTTTTTTTGAAATATATTTTACGCGTTCCTGTCAGAAATCGAAAACAAGGAAAAAACAAGGCTTTGACGGAATTCTTTTAATTTACCATTTATATCTGTGATCGCATCGCTAAGGAGCTCGCTCTCACCCTAATCTAGCTCCGAGATATTAATCATTAACGATTAGGCTGTAATCACAGGCAGTAAGTGAGCCTTAGCAACTGGTTACAGAATCCCTCAAATGGGAAAATCTTGACGGAATCTGTTTCTGCAGAATAACTTTAAAATTTCCAGAAGTATGGTGGCCCGGACTTCCATCCAACTCGCAACTACCCGAGAACGACTACAACGCCTAGACCTCGGATAACTCGCCCACCGCCGACTAGAAAGCTCCTCCTCGCTGAAGAGCCCACATCGACAGAAGATGTAAGCTGCGTCACAAAAGTAGTTTTATGTACCGTTTGAGGGGTTTTTTTCAGCCCGATGATCCAGAAGATACAGAGATGATCATAAACGAGAATATCTCCGAAGATACTGCTGCTGTGGGTCAGGATAGTCAGGAGGAATATCTGCAAAACGGTAATTTATATACGTTGCCTGTATACCAGGAATTCAATAGCGTTACTTGCTTTATTACCAGAAGCAGCATCACATAGACCACATCCGTAATGGCTGGTTGCGCCACGCACTTGTATATTTTGTGACTATTTGAAAGGGAATTCTTTATGAGCATATTCCGCTCTATTCGCTCGGATATGCAGCTTCTAGTCCGTGTGAGATGACTGTCATTACGACAATTAACAGCTGCCCTAGGCTTACCCTGAGTGCTCAAACATCAGGAAAGAAGGTTGAGCACCATCTGTACGCGGCAATTTGCCTTTTAATGAAAAAATTCGCCAGCGGACTATTAGATACTTTGTAACAGGCCCAATTTTCGATGTACAACATAACTTTTGTTTCCACAAGTTAAGTCCGTTTGCGCTTGTAATGAGGCATTAACCGTCAATATAGAATAGAATTCAAATATTATCATTTCAATAGTATCATTACAATTCAGAAACAATGCGGCTGCCAGCAGCCGCAGAGAGAAAAAGCTCAGCGGACGAGGTTTACAACAGCGACATTTGCTGGGAAACGATAATTGGACAGGTGGCATTTTTCAGCCGAATTACCAATTTGTTGTGAAGATAAAGATTTAAGTCTTCGATAACAGGAGATCGTTAAACTCGTCACTATGGATTTGATCGTAACAATCGTATCGATTCTGGTTATCGACTTTCTTCGCGGTCTATGGATCAAATACTGCTCGGCCTGGTGGTGTTGGGATATTGAAACAACATTCGTGAGTACAATCAGCCATTTTTCAAACTGATCTCTGTCGTGTAGAGGACGGGTATTGAATTATGTCATACTTTTAGTTCGGATGCACACAAAAAAAATTATGATTTTTTTATCACTTTAACATCGAGGAGGCTGATTACGTACGGGGTGTACGAGGTTACAGATTTCTCAATGAAGTCCTCTACCATTGCTGCTATGTTCGAAAATTCTATCATTAAATTCCAGGTGTATCAAAGTTGTTGGTAATGACTTCACATAGTAACTTGGTTATAGTTAATGATAAGAAAATGGTGACGATATCCGAATTTTTTCAGTAGGACCAAAATTTCTAGGCCACCTTCTTCAAAGGTCCGCAGATTTTAAAGAGATGGCAGAAAAAGGAAGCATGCTGGTTCCATGGACATTGTTTGATCAAGATCTACGTAGTACAGCTAGCTACTTTTCTACCTAATTTCGTCATCATTTTTGCAGAAGAACTTATTCGAAAAAAAATGTTGGACCCTAGGAATGGGTCGCTAACGACGATGAAGCCTTCTTGACTGAGTACTAGAAAATCAAATTCATCAATCTCAGCAAGACTTGACCGTTCGAAACTCGTTTACGGATTCCATTGGTTATGTTCTGTACAAATTCTCATGGAAAAGAAAACTGCAAGCTTCCAATCTTGATACCCATCAATAAATATATTCGAATCATTTCAGCCTGAATACGGCGAGTTCAAAGTGGCCGAAAACGTATTGCATATAATCAATAACCAGGGAATGATCTGGTTAGGATTGTTCTTCACACCTTTATTGCCAGCTCTGAACAATATCAAACTGGTAATTATTATGTACATTCGTGGATGGGCCGTAATGACGTGTAACGTACCGGCAAGAGAAATATTTCGTGCCAGCAGGTGGGTTGATTTTTAGTATAGCTTTTGCTTCTTGGAGAAAAGTAACAAAGCTTAGTATAGGGTTTTCACTTTTGACTTACAAATATTTAACCCTTCGGATGGCAGGCGGAATATGCTTGGCGTATCAAAATTAAATTCGATCCGTGACCGGATTGCTCGCTCCTGATCAATCTCATTCCTACGTTTAATCTCAGTAAAGGTTGTTACAATACGGGATCGCAATAGCTTCTTAATCCCAAAGTCAGTCAGTTCTCTCACTTACAGAGTAACCTGGCAGAAGTAGTAGTAGGACTCCGATCCCGGAGCGCTTTCCACTATCTTCCATGGTCTCTTATAAGCTGTATTGCTATTCTACACAAAAGCTTCGCAGATTGGCTCTACTCTNCTTTCCACTATCTTCCATGGTCTCTTATAAGCTGTATTGCTATTCTACACAAAAGCTTCGCAGATTGGCTCTACTCTTAATACCGAAACTACATAACTTCATGCCCTATCCTTCTCAGGAACCAATTGTCAAAATTTAGGTCAAGCAACTTCTATCTGTTGATTTTATTGCTATGGTTACTACTTTGTACATTGCCTGTCGGTTTTGTCATTGCCTCCACTCGACCCTCCAGAAAATGTGGTCCTTTCGCGTAAGTGACATCACGAACTTCGATTTTGTGCATAGACGAAGCCATTTTCAGTTATTTCTAAATTAACTGGGCATTTTTTTCAGTCAGCACGATCATTTCTACACTGTAATCACAAAGGAAATAGAGAAACGTGTGGATCCATTCCTTCTCGGATATATTCGTCACGTAGCTTCGCCAGGAGTTGTCATCCCTATACTACTCTTTCTAATGTAATTAATGTTCAGTACACAGCCAATATAACGTCCCATGTTGAGGCGCGATTCTTACCGAAATCGTGTAGTGATNTAATGTTCAGTACACAGCCAATATAACGTCCCATGTTGAGGCGCGATTCTTACCGAAATCGTGTAGTGATATACTTGGAAAATTTTGTGAAGGCTTGACCAGATAGCTCGTTCCTATCGAACGGCTTCTGTTCGTTCTAAACACATTCAAACTATACTGAGCAATGAGGCAGATAGTCAAAACTAACAAATGTTTTAGAAAAACCTACCTATGCCATAATTAATTTGAAAGTGAGCATTATCATCTATAACGTTTTTTGTCGTTATTACCAGTTATAGTTAACGAACTATGTCTACATTGGCTCATACATTCTCAAAGCATATAAAGAGTAGTTAGGCGATTTTGATAACTTTTTTTACATCATCAGTTTTCTGTGATTTTTCGACTTAAGATTTTTCACTGGTATAGCAACAGGTTAAACTGAGCTTTTTAGTGTGACGTCCACCTATCCCTTTGTACAAACTAGTTACATTGCCCTGAATTTTTCAGGCTGATTATTTACTTTTTGGTCTCTCTAGTAAGAGGACTACGTGAGGCGAATACGGATCTTCAACAGCAATTAATTCATGTAAGTTTACTTCATTTAAATTAATATGACTGCTCACAGATTCCAGAATGTATCCTGTGTCAGAGGTTCTGACTATAAGAACTTAACGCTAGAAATTGTAGTAAAGTCGCTTCTTTTGTAATCAAGTTACGATCCCAGACTGGGCTCTGGGAATTGAACTTTCCCGTATGAGTTTATATCACACCTTTGATCCGGAATAATACAGCGTAGTTAGAAATGCAGTGGGGTAGTTTTCTTAGTGACACTGAAGTAAAGCCTACGAGATAGAACGGACCATTCGTGGAAGAACACTACTTCTTTTACTAGAAGTAACTCCATGCAAGCTCAGAGCCTGTTCGCATCGCATTGTATTTAAAAGTTGTTCAGGAACGCACTGAGGAAAAGAAGAAAATCTTTGAGCTGGCCGGCGGTAAAAAGAAAGTCGATCAGGATAGAGATCGAGATCATCGAAAAGCTGTGCAGTATTTGCCACTTATTGAACAACAGCGTCGAGAGCCATGGAGAACTTATAATGAGGTTTGTCTGTATGTAAAGACTTCTTCTGCTGCCTTTCAATAACGGGACGGCTGTGGTTTTGGTTGTTGAGATTACTGATACCACTGATCTGGCAGTAACTGTCTAATGTTCGGGATGTAAACATGATTAAGAACTTAACATTCTCTCGACTTTGACACCGCTGGGAGATACTTTGACTTTCGGATTCTCCAGAAATGCTCTTGGGTTTCTAATTGTACTAAAACCTGTACTCTTTTTACTCCTATTTCTACTATTTTTATTTACTCCTAACTCCGAATTCTTTCAACCTTTGCTACGCGATATTTGGCAACATATAGTGATTACCGAACCTCTTCACAGTGGACAACTTCTTTCTGATCTGTGTCCACGTTATTCTGTGTCTGCATATATGCATAAACGACTTTTTACGATAACAAACATTACCCTCCCGGATCAGATTCGACGCTGGCGGCGTTGCGGTTGCGATGGGCCGTACTATACTATACCATAGACACGTAAATTTAAGAAGAAAAACCGTCAAGTTCTTTTACTAGTCGGGGCCCTTTGTGATCCTTGGAATACAGCAAGCTTTTTTGACTTCGTTTCTGCTTTAAGCCTCAAGATGAGCCTGTCCGAGCCGAAGATTCGTCGGAAAGCGAAGAAGAGGAAGTGGATGAGTCGCAGTCGCCAGTTCCGGTACAACGCTATGCACCAGTGCCGTCCAGTACATCAGAAACCGTAGCTGCAATGCATTTTCATCCTTCACTTGGGTGAGCCTAACTTTCACTTGTTCCACTTGACCGACCTTAAAAAATGGAACTCTCGTCGGCTAATACATTTTCATTAAATTCCAAATTCTCTCATCTTGAAACCTCTGCATTTCTGTTGTTCATGAGATTGTTAATTTTGCTTTTGCCTCGAGGTTGTTAGGTGGGAATCTTTATTCTGGCCAACGTTTCGACGGAGTTTTCAAAGGCCTGAAAATGGTTCAAAGCTTGTTGATTGCACAGTACCTCACCAAGCGACTCCTCTGCTCTAGCGTTTCTGACGTCCTATCAGAAAAGCACGAAAAATGCCCGAAATTCAGAAGAAATAGCTCACCTCACTTCCACCGCGAAGTGTAGCACTACGATACACGGTTAGTACATTAGTAGCGAATCATCTTACTTCGCTGTCCTTATGCAATAATATTATTATTGCGGATCAGCACGTTCGCGTACTATGGAACCTACTCGCAGTGTTGCATAAATGGCAAGAGACCATTTGTGATTATGACACACTCATTTCGGCGGTTCATATCTGGATTTCTAGCTAGAATCTAGAACGCTTCTAACGCTTTCCTCGACGATATTTCCGTCTCGTGAGCCAATATCGTGCACCTGATGTTGAAATCATTGCCACCATGCTGTTCCACTCTGTGCTTTCCTAACGGAGTTAACACATCACTGCTCCGTTTACCTGCAAGACAAAAAAAAAAACTCGGTCGAATTGCTATACGGTACCTTGAAACACTGAAAGATTCCACGATGACAGGAGAAACACTTCACGCAGAAACAAACTTCCTCTATATTTACCGTTCATCTCTGTCGAGGTATCTGCTGCAATACAACGGTGTATTGTTCGAGCACGATTGAGCGATGATGTTATTCTAGTTAACATTCCGCCTAATAACATCAAGCGCCAACTTGTGAGGAACAGACTATGATGGGCAGTGCTTGACAGAGGGTTGCATTACACGTCCAAACGGGAAAAGTGGGTATTGTACTCATGCAGGCGTAATTTGTCAGATTCAATGTGAGGCATGTAATTCAAGCTACATAGGGGAAACCGGAAGAGTTTTATCAGCACGAATCTCAGCATCTCAATATCAGCATCTTGCTGGTAAACGGCGCAGTAAGGTGCTAACTCCGTTAGGGAAGCATGGTGGCAATGATTCCAACACCAGGTGTACGATACTGGCTCATGAGACGGAAATATCGTCGAGGAAAGCGTTGGAAGCGTTCTGGACTGGACNAGATATGAGCAGCCGAAATGGGTGTGTCACTATCACAAATGATCTCTTGCCATTTATGCAACACTGCGAGTAGGTTCCATAATCAGCGAACGTGCTGATCCGCAATAATAATATTATTACATAAGGACAGCGAAGTAAGATCATTCGCTACTAATGTACTAACCGTGTAGCGTAGTGCTACACTTCGCGGTGGAAGTGAAGTGAGCTTATCTTTTGAATTTCGGGCATTTTTCGTGCTTTCCTGATAGTACGCAGGAACGCTAGGCGGAGGAAGCGCTTGGTGGGGTAGGGTGCAATCAACAAGCTTTGAACTATTTCCAAACCTTTGAAACGACGAGTCCGTCGAAACGTTGGCCAGAATAAAGATTCCCACCTAAAACCTCGAGGCAGAAGCAAAAATAACAATCTCAAGTTTACATTTTCAGTCTAAAAATTGTTACTCTGGTGGGAGAGCGACATTAAGAGAGCCGGAAAAAACTGAATTAATGCTCCCAGAAAGGGTGTTGAATCAGATCTTGCAAAGGGCATGACAAGGATGCAGTTCTCCACCCTCTCTCCGCTATCGTGTCGCTTTCCCAGATTCTCTACTTACAAAGAGATATTAACAAGTAGTAGAGGCAACATGGGTTATTTGATGAATGAGGTGGGATTCGGAAAAGCTAATAGGAATATTCAGAAGTAGTAAAGAAGTTGTACAATAGTTACATACTTGCTATCGGGTATGCGACCCACTGAATGATGCTTCAATCAGCAGCGCTCATTTCCACATCTCGAATTGTTCCACTCTTTTACAGTAGTATTTTCGAATTCATTTAAATGCACATCATTACAGATCCCTTGACGAGCGTGAAGAGGCAGAAGAAGAGGAAGTCAGTCAAGTCAATGAAACAGTTCAACCGATTGTACATTCTGTATCGCAGCACTTCACCGGCAATGTCTGCCCTTTCAAATAGAATCTTTCAATCTTTCAATCTTTTTTCCAACTATGTGAAATATTTTTAGGTGTTTTTGAGTCATAAAGTTGTATTAAGGCTAAAACTGGATCTCCGTCGGGAAGTTTCGAAGTGCCCAGTAGCGTGATTGATATCACCACGCCAGAAGATGTCCGGTAAGCCACAGTTCCGATTTTCCCCACTGTTTGTCATTGGAATTTGATTTTTACCCCTGTAATAATTTCAAGCCACCTTCTTCCTTCCACATGTTGTTCTGCGCCTGTTTTCCCTTCCATTATTGCATGTTTGTTTTATTAATATGTTTTGCAATTTGTGTTTTGCTCTGGGCAGTTCATGGGGGATGAATTTCAGAAGCCTCGGATTTCTTTTTTTGATTCTTTTCACAGTTGGTTAAGAAAAAATGAGCATAACCAAGACTCGATCGTTGTCAGAGGATTCCAACTTGGTTGTAAAGTGAACAGGCCCCTTCAAAACTTACCTTCAAGTTATACTTAGGTTATGGTTGATGATTCTTCTATAGGGCGTATGGTGGGGATAATTTTTTCTGGTCGGTTGTATTCCTCCAAGAAACTGTCGGACAAACTTTCTGAGCCTCTGTCTCAAGGCAACGGGTAGGCATCAGCTCAAGGCTGAAGACTTTTGAAATTCCCAGACCAATTCGATTCATCCCTCACGATCGCTGCGCTCAGCAGTTTCTTTTAATAACTTTATTAACTTTGTTTTTATTCTGTAGTTGACCTATACTCACTTGCACGTTATTTATTTAGTAATCTGCTTCTACCGTTTATCGAGATGAGGGCCTTACCTTATGCTCGAGCTTATCGTGGTTTTCCACGCGATCTCACCAGTCCTACCTCAGCAGCTGGTGTTCGTAGCGGAAGTATCGTCGGTTCACGTACAACGCTTCTTGAAGGCGGAAGTCCACCGGGTACGTCGTCGGTGGTATTGAGTTCACGACGGTCAAGCAAACGACACTCCTACATATCTCTCTACGAATTCATGGGTGCTACTCGAGATGACAATCCCATCTTCGGCGCTCCCACGTGTGTTTTGCAACCACATTTTTGGTTTTTATACTAATTGGTTTTGTGAGTTTTTGTGTTTTGCTGTGAAAATATTTTGTTTTCACACTTACCATTCACACAAGTTTTCACTGCACCTTAATCCAAATGACAGCCGAGATAGTTGATTTTACTCCATTCCTTCATCCCTTGAGCCTTTCCAGAGGCCACTCAGAAGTCGCGCCACGAGTCTCGCTAACATAGTTTGCGCGAAAAAGTTGGAGTGACATATGACGCCCTACCTTGAGATAACCAAAAAGTCGTATATCCCTACTCAGGTTATCGTGACATCTACCCCTTTAGGGGCTTCCGTTTCCCAACAGATTCTTCTGTAACTACTATGCCGGAAACTAATGGAGGAATTAACGAAGCCATGTGTTTCATCGTGTGGTTCCTTCTGTTGCACAAAAATGTTCATTAATCCAAAGGATGCTGCCCTTTCATTCAGCACTGCGACCGAGAGTGTGGAAATTATTCGTCCTGGGTCATGAATTCGGGTAAAGGTCAGATTGGATCGAGGTTCGAGTAGAACAGGGTATCGAATATAAAAAAAACTGCTTCAGAAAGTATTTTTACAACTTCCCCATCAGCTTGAAAAGGGTTCGAGTTTATCAACAATCTTGGCTTTTTTTTTNTTTTTTTTTGTTGAGCTCAGACGTAACTCAGTCATGAGCGATGTCTTTTGAGTTCCAAAGTTTTCGTTTAGCCTAATAACAGCGCAAAGGCCACGAAACGGTCAAGATATGCGCGCTGAAGTGCATCGGTTACCGCCTACGAAGGAATCTGAAGAAGAGGCGGAACGCCGAGCAAAGACTGCCGTTAATAACACACCTACCAAACAGCCATCATTAAAGAGCGGAAAAAGGTGCATAGCTCTCGTAGAAGTTGTTTCGTGAACGATTTAAGCTTTTTCGAGAAAAGACTCACCATCGAGTTACTGGTAGACGCGATAGGGCTTTGAGTAAGCATATCCAGGATATATGGCTTCGTTATATGAAAATGCTTACAGTTATAACGCCGATAGCACTCATTCGGCATTCCAACCATGGCCTTCTATAGAGGAAGTACAATCGAGAAAGGAACAATTATTGAAGAAGTTTGTTAATCTTGTTTGTGAAGCCTCACTTTCGTTTAACTTTCGCTTATTTTGGATATTTAGGACGCCGTTGCCATTTTATAAAACTCCGCTACAAAACTCCGGTACAAGCCCTCCACATTCCCACCATCAAGCTGGACCTAGCACCAGACATGCAAGCGGTGGTAGCCCTAAAAAGCCAAGCACACTTCCATACAGAAAATTTGAACCCGAGGTTTGCTACTGAATTTACTTTGATATCACTCCTATTCTACAGGATTTTCAGAGCACTCGTGTTTCTCAAAGTTCTGTGTAAGAGCATTTCCATCTTTTCTTTCGAAGAAAATATTGCGCTTTTTCATTTAGCCTTTCTGGTGGTGCTTCAGTCACATAGCGCTGTCATTGGTCGTGATTGTCGCTTACTTACCAATTTGTACTGGTATATAACGAGTTCGGTTCAATGTTGTTATTTGAGGCATCTCCCGTCGTGTCATCAACGGACGACGAAAGGCGGTCCATCTCGCCGTCAAGACGATTCCGTATCTCGGTCTCACCAACACGAAGAATAGGAACGGATTCAAGTCCTGGCAGGTGGGCACAACAGCTGTATTCTTGGAAAACCTATGTCAATTTTTTTGCATTGTTTTTTTACGTGCTCTATCATTTCCTTGACCTTCTAGTTTATGACGGGGATGAGGCATTCTATGGATCTAATCGTACAATTATCCAAGCGGAAGTTATGACTTGGGAATTGCAAATGTACTAAATGCAAGAGCATATTTAATGGGGAAGCACAATGAAACATGAAACTGTGAACTGAGACATCCATGGGGCGATGAAAATTGAAATCTCGCTTGTCAGTAGTCAAAAAAGCTGGATCGAATGTGGTAGTAGAGGTGATATTAGAGTTTGATATGATTTGCCATCAGTACTTCCAATCAGGAGCGGATTTAGGGATAGAAAAAAAATTAATTTAATTCATTTCAATTATACTAAATTTAATTATAATCACTGAAGAAGACAAATTAGATCAAATTAGATTTTATTTGTGTATCATAGTGTGAAAACCGGGCAGCAAGCCAATCAAACCCACTCCCGATTTCCGATTTCCGGCATAATGGTCCGTTTTTTTTTTCAGGAAAGCTCGCCGTTTCACAATCAAACAGGAATCGGCAGCGCCATCGATGGCATCCGTGTGCCAACTGACGCCTCAACCACCGACGTCATCTAAATCTGACGTTAACACGTCGTCGTCACGTGCACCAACTGTCGAGTTCGGCGAGGATGACAGCCCTCGCGTACTCGAGTGATGAGGGACGAGTGTTTCTTTATACACTTACTGTAGGATACTACTAACGATAATTACTGTCTGACGTGTCATATGCTTTTCAAACCGCACTTTTATGATATTTCCATAAATTTCGCTGAGCTTTCACTAATAAGCCCCACCATAAGCACTGCCTCCCAGGCTTAACCCTTTCTTACTCCCTCCTATTTGAATTGTCGTTATTGTTACCGTAACCGGTGTGAAAACTTTGCTGATCTTCTATTTAGTTTTGGATTGAATAAGCTAATTTGTGAGAGAAAAGCAACATTTTGTCCGTCTGAGTATTTCTTTAGATGATTTTCTTTCACCACTAGAAAAAATCGGTAATATCGATAGCGTTGCCTTGCGCTCTTCAACTTCACATTCCCACTCAGATTCTCATCACTTGAGATTTATTATTGTTGTTTAGGTGAACAATTGTCGTCATATCACAATTAGTTGTATGTATTTACTGCATAAATTTGGAATATTCTTTACAGCCATTACAGTACTGCAACCGCGTTGTTGTCGACCTCAGTACATACTTGTTAAAAAGGAAGTGAATCTAATGCATGCATGATTAATATCGCTTTTTTAAGTTTATTTAATCGCACCTGTCCACCAATGGTACCAGTAGGGAGAACGCGGTTTGGAGTGTTGCATTTGTGATATCTTCAAAAAGCCGGGCTAACCGCATGTGAGCTTTTATAACAAAATTTCCTTCGCTTTTGTATTTCGTTCGCTTGTGTTCGTGCTGTACTAATTTGCACTCCCGAACTTCTTTTGTTCTCGTGTGTTGCTTGTGTAGGTTCGAGTGGTATTTTTGGTTTGTTTTTTCCTGGAGGTTATTCGTTCACACAGTCCCTGAAGCCAGTACTTATCAAAATTGGTGGCCCGCTCTCACTGCTGACTAAGGCTGCGAAGGCTTTTGAGACATAGCGGATGCCATCTTTGAGAAGAGAACAACGTGTTGAACAGCCACTAGAAATGGGTTTTTCGATAAAGTTCACCGCAATTATAGAATTCGAGAAAAATCTAGCCTAGATTTGAGAAGCCGAAGCAAAGAAAGATGTGTAGCTCCAAATTTCCATGATCTAAACAGAGACCAATGTATCCAGAATCGAATTGAGAAGTCTCAAAGTATGGTGTGAAAGGCGTCGGTTGTTTTTGGTTTGAGGAATGAGTATGGGCTCGACTCCCATGCTTTCCCATGGCTTTACATTCTTGTGATGGATCTCAGATCTTTCTTTACTTCAGTCACTACATTTATTATTTTTTTAACTAGTTCTAACCAGAAAGCTACTTATGGTCCGTTAAGCGTTGCGAATGAATGCATGGTTTGCTTCAAATTCTTTATACATAGATATTTTACATTGCAAATTGCCTATTTCTTGCTCCACAATCGTATTGTGATTGGTGTGCTTAATAGTTGTAAGTAACGCGATACTGATGCCCAATACCTATTTGAACTTCGATGATGGGGCTCAACTACCTTCAGCCACCTAAATTTGGGAGGATTTGGAAAGCGCGAACGCTGATAACGTCAATGCCAGCGCTTGTGGCTGGAACGCTAGAGGATCTTAAACCGAATAATAGATGTCATAGTCGTGGTCAATGAAAATAAATTTCTAGCTATAACTGACTACAAAGGGTGAATCCGAGGGGAAATTTACCTCAAACAATAAAAAAAAAGGTTATGAAAGAAATGTAGCGCCAAGGTTTATTATTTATTATCGGAAATGCTACATTCGTATGTATGAATAAAGATCAACATTTGAAAATCTTAGGTGACCCGCAACTGACAAGTATGATAGATTATTTTTAAACTTCCATCCGGTCGGGTATGGTTGTAACTGGTGCAACTAGATTGTCTTTTTTGGAGGCGTTGTGAGAGCAGACAGACTTCCCTCGTACTGTTACCTAAAAATGGAAGATTATATATGTAAACTGTAGGCTACGCCAGCGTACCAGACGATTCGAAAATGGGTTCTATTAAGGAAATTGATTCTCCTTCACCCCAGACCTACTGTCCAACCTTGTCTGACTGCTCTTAACTAGGTATACCATGCAGTTTGGGGGCTATACAAATGGGTGTACACGTGTGCATGTGAACCCACTGTATTTTACCGACGGCATTAAGGGTGCTCGTGAAGGAAGTTCAATTAGTGGCCAAAAGAATGGGCTCACCTCAAGAAATGCTACTAATTCCACGATGCAGTACATGGTAATGGTCGGCCATGTCATTACCAGATGGAAAATGTTTCGGATAATGCCTGTTTCATCTTTGGTCCCTCTGGGAAATACCTGAAAACCACGCGGATATTCCTCAATCCTAAATTAAGTTGAAACCTAGCTGTAAGGAAATAACAAAAACATAGACCTACTGGTTGGCATAAATAATTGACGAGAAATACACAAAGGAACCAAAAGTATTGCAGTCCAAGAAATCCTAGCATTATCCATGTAAAAACGTCCTGTGACGGTATGACCAGACCCCATACCCCGTGATTGACGGCTGACAGCATCGCAGGCGTCTGAAAAGTAGGAATTAGAGCAGAGAGTAAAACTTTCGGGGGGNGGGGGGGGGGGGGGGGGGGGAGGGTATTTTCATAGGAAATGTTAACTGCGGTTAAAAATATGGGTAGAGGTGATAGTAATGGGGAAGAATCAGTTCAAAGTACGATTATATTTCTTACCACTAAAGGAGCCACAATAGTGTAGACAGAAGCGATGCATAAAAGAAATCCATAGTAGAAAACAAATTTGGCTGAGAACGAAAGCGATACCATCACCGGAAGTTGGAAAAATTTGATCACGAAGTAATGGAACACCTAAATTTACGTTGATAACACCACTATTCTTTCACATTGAATAAAAGGAAATTTTGAATGAAAAATCACGACCTCTGCAGCTCCGATCGTCCATCGTCTGATTTGACGGGCCCATTCGTACCATTCATCGATATAGTTTTTGCCTGAAGTTAGTGGTTTTTGAATTGTCATTTTTCAAAGCAATCCTTAACTAACCACTTGTAGGTCCGCTAAGGGTGGCCACTGGAATTGCTCGAATCACACATTTCCTTCTTACTGATAGGGACCATCTGATTAGAGCGATGATGTCATCCATCTGGAAATTTTTATCAAGTACTTTTTTATTTGCATCCCGAATAGAACGTGCGAAAGTAGTTCTTTGTATGAATAGCTAGGAAGTAGCTTTCCCCTTCGAATACACATTTGAAGGCTATTTGAAAGCCATAATTCTGAATGCTTAAGGTTTCCTAGCAGAAAAGAACCTTTTATTAATTGAGTTTTTCAAAAATTTTATGAAGGTGCGCGACCGCAGGTAAATTTGAAATAACCAGGTTGTTCGAGTAGCAATGCACATTTTGTTACTCTGTTCTCCCTATAACGGCTTGTTTGATTTTTGTGTTTTTCAACGAAGTTTTACCGTTTACAGGGATATGCCCATTCAAAAGTTCAGACAAGCAATTTGTCTCACTTTGTTTCCGATCAGCCTGATAAGTCACAAAGTTATCAATCGTAGTAGTCGTATGGGTGTTAAACTAGCTTCTCATTTAAAGAAAGAAACTCATCCTCTACTAGCCACTTCTTTACTCTCTCAGGCCATCATTTTACTTGGTATCGTCATCATAGTAATGGGATACTTCGCCGTTGAAACATTCTTTGCGTAAGACCTGCGGAGTGTCGAATCTCGGAAAACTTGCCTCGTTTTCAGTTACCGATTGAAGTTAAGCCTGTTGGTTAAGGGAGCCGATTTGCACAAACAATGACTGATGGGGTACTTGTAATGGGCTGTACACCAACGCAAGCCGACTTCAACTTGTTTAGAGGGGTATATTCTCAATAGACCTCCATTCCGTATCACCCACCGTTCTGCCGCATATGCCTGGATGAGTGGTTACGCTTATGAGTATTAACAACAAAGTTGTCCTAAGTAAACAGTGAAAGCATTCAATAAAAGTTTTTTTTGCTGATGTCAGCCTATTCATATTAATACGTCGCGATCCCATACCCATTTAATTGAGATCTTTGAGGCCGTTTTATGAGCCGATCTAGTTTTCATGAGTCACAGTGATGGCATTGAAAAGGATTATTTCATCTAAACTTTTTCGTGAAAACCATTCTATGACCAAATAGAATACCGGAAGCCAGTCTGCATAGCAGTAAAAATCAGTTTGATTACAAAAGACCTAAGACATGATGTCATGATTAAAGAAGATTTGTTGGATGAATCAAAGAACATATCTGGAGTAGATAACGGTAAAAAAACAGGAGGGAGAAGGGCTCGCGATGATTAGTAATTGAGTAAATGATCGAATTGTAAGAAGTAGCAAACCTGATATCCTGGATGAGTGTAATCGCCATTTTCCATAAGTTTAAGGGTCAGAGAGAAAATACTCATTGTATTTATATTCCACGGTATCAGATATCCCATCATGAAGAATGCCCTGAAAATATCCAAACTCGTTTACAGTATTGATCATTTGTTAAATATCTCGATTATATACATAATATTAATACTTATTAGTGAATATGAGATTATAGGATTTGTTTCGATTGTTATCCACATTTCCAACTTTTAATTTTTTGGCCAGAGTTTGCGTGAACTCACAAACATTCCCCATTCTGGTAAGCGACCAAAATCTTTTTGTCTCTTAACAATTTAGACCAAAAGAAAACAGTGGCAGAGTGAAGGCCTATTCTCAGAATAGATATTCGAACCAGGAGAGGTAGCTGTCAAGCACAACTACCTGAGTAATCCAGTAACCCTGACAAAGAATGGCGACTTGTGGAGATTGATACAGTAAAACAGTGGAGACTGCCATACGGTGTACTGACGTTGCTGAATAGTGTTGGCATTTACTTCTAGATTGCACTATGGGCTAAAAGCTGGGTACCTCTTCGGTGAGCTTCAAGTAATCTTCTTCCAAAGCGTCAAAATATCGTTCTCCGAAAATTGAATCACAGTCACCAGTTGTCACAAGGAGTTCAACTTTACGATCCGGTTTATCCAGTGGATAATTCTGAAAATTACTCGAATCTTTTTGGGAATTTGGTCACGCATTCGGTCACGCAGAAGNAAAAAAAAAACGATTAGGTAAAGATCAAATGCTGCTTCAAACATCGCCTGGACAAACTTAGCCTTTATTCCCAGCAACCAGCAAGATACTTCAATAATTTATCTTCACAGGCCTTTATTTTAGCCTTGTCAATCTTTTTTGACTTGGATGTTTTACTTTTTAATTTAAAAACTGAGTATTCCTTACTGATCCTTCTTTCTGACTGACCTTATCAAGCCTGAGTTGTTTAACAGCCTGACGAGATGCGTAATTGAAATTCGAACATTTCCCTGAAATTGTAGAATTCCATATTCGAAAGTGTAATAGTTAATTTTTCATTTACATAATTTAACAACCAGTACTTACCGGGAATATCGCCAGGAAGTCCCTTCGGGTGGAAAGTAACGATGAAACGATCGAATTGAGCTTCATATTTTTCATGTAATAGTCGTTTTTTCTTAAAAACGATAATTTAGATACCTTAAAAAGGTTATAAAGTGTTTTGGAGTTGTATTTTTAAACTTCATGGAGTCTTCCCTTTATGTCTATCCTTTCTCGAAATCTTTGAAATAACTGGATTAAAGCGCACAAAATTCCTCAAGACTGTCAAACTTGTAAGCTTGCGCTGTCAATGGTTACCTCTTCCTTGTCAGGAGTACCGCCCTCCATCCCGACCAAGCAGGTGATTTTCGATTTTGCATCCGGTTGAGATGCAATGCTTGAACAGTAACAATTAAATGGTTAATCGTTCGATTAATCCGATTCTGTTCTATTCAATCACAGATTTGCATTACCTGTCTACCGTGTCCATAATGAGTTGCAGTGGTTCTTTGTAAATACAGATTCCGACCAAGTGTTTTATCAGTATACCGTCCGGATTACTACCCTAAATGAATTGGCAGTTATACCTATGTACCAGAAACACGTGCCCATCTCTGGGGAAACTGTCCTTATGTGGTCCCCATTCATTTATTATTGTTCTTTCAATGATGGGAAAATAGCAGAAAGCTATTTTTATAACATCAAGTCAGATTTGAGACAAGTCTCTAACTGTTCTACATGGAAGTGTTAAAAGTTTTCTAGTTCTTTGGAGGTCCCCCGTTTTTTTAAGTCACCCTTCATATACCATTCCTCTTCAATTTATCATTACCTGCTGGTATAAAAACCTCATTCCAAAACATCGCAACAAGAATAAATTGCCGAAATTTTCTTTCTTAATTTCCCAATACCAATTGCTTATTTTTGCATAACTTCTAGTCTTCCTCTGTTTAAGAAAAGGTATTGGAGTCACTAAGACCAAGGCTGCGGTAGTTCTCCCCGAATACCCACGGTAAGCGGTAGCGTATGCGCACGATAGAGTGCGGCAAGCGCGACGCGATTTTCGGAGATCAGTACCCACACTTTTGGGACCACTGCACATCCTCCATTGCTGAAGTTACGACTAAACAAAACCTTCCCTGTTGAATTCTTGTTGGCTACGAGAAACTCAGCAATGAGATTGTCATCATAAAGTTAGCCACCTAACTCATACAGATACCATGCCCACCTTGCACGACTTTACTCTTCACCCTCTACATTCTAAGGACTTTCAAGGGATGAATAATACCTTGCTGAGATCGATTTTGTGTGAGGCAAACCGCCTTAAACGCCATGTGTACCGAAGAGCATTGAAAACGGCAACCATCCACAAAAAATGGAGAATTATGCATACAATGGTGACGATTTCCAGTGCAAAATCCTGAAAGAAGATAGGATTTCCGGAAAATGATTAGGACTTTGTGAGAAAGCAGAAAGTGCCATTCGCTAGGCATTCAGTGGTCTTACATTTGCAGAAAAGGGGAAAGACCACAAGGAGTAAAAGTGAATGGGATCAGGATAAGGCCATCATTGAGGCAATGTTCTACTTTTTGTAAGCTTGGATATGCAGCGGAACAACTTACGTTCAAACTAGGAATGGCTGGAATCCAAACAGATGATGAAATAAAAAAGAAGATTAGAAATGTGAATAGCAAATTCCATCGGATATACTTATTTGCTGGTTTTGCCACTCTCCCAGCATACGATTCCAACCTGAAAAATTGAGAATCCATCCGCTGCCTCTGTAGCTGTTATCACTCGCTTAAATAAGTTTGTGAAGTGCAAACAGAGAGGTTTTTTAAATGCTTTTTGCAGGTCCCCACGCAGTGCTCCCTATTAGTCATACATAATACAAAGACTAACTTTCTCAAGAGGACGGCGGTTTATGAGCAGAACTTTGGCGTCGGGCGGTACCCGAACCCGAAATTGTGCTTCCCGTGCGTCGTGCTTTTTATCCCTTACATTGAGAAGGCCCGGCTTGCTTTCGCCATGAAGATTAAATGGTTCGTGGTAGGGTGAACATTGTTACAGCTCTCCCTGCTCTCAGTTCATTGCACCTTTTGGATATTCGAGGCTAGGTTTTGAAACTTAAGAATGTAATGGAAGCCGAAAAAGTAAATGGATGGAAAGAATCTTGAAAGCCAACGATATGCGTAGCAGTAATTTCGGTGTCAAATATGAACTTGGGAAATGACACAGATTCTCACCTCCTCAAACTACCCGCAAATCCTCTACGTACAGATTTCTTGAACGTTTTGAGAATGCTCTCGCGACGACCGGATGGTACTGGCTTGCCAGCTGGTAACGAAAATGATTTGGCCTGAAGTTATTTATTTGAACATATCTTCTTTGCTTCTATAAGCACCAATGATTATTTTTTGCAACAAACTAGAAACTCACCACTTTTGGCTTCGTAGAATAATTATTGTCAATGATGATCTGCTTCAGATCGTCCAGCGTTGCGCTCATCTTATCGCCCATTCTGCTGTAAGTATTACTTAGGAAAAGTCGTATTGATAGTAAAATTATCAAAAGCAAAAGGAAATAGTTCGAGATTCCAGATAGTGAAGAAAATGTAGAAATTAAGAGGGCACCGTAGAATTTTCCAGCAAAATCGAATTATGATCATGTTTCTTATGGCATATCTATACATATAAATTTCTGCCAAATTTTCCGAGCAACAGTTCGAATTTAAGTGCCCACAGGAATAANGAAAAAGGCTCAATAAAATTAAAAGTGAAAAGGTTCAAAACCATTAGGCTCAAGAAGGAGCTAAAATGAACCTGGGGTGAGGTATTCAAGTTTCTGCACAAAAACAGTAAAGAGAAATTTTGCATAAGGTTTCATAACGCAAGTGGGTTGAAGTGAAGGGCTGACATCGACAATACCGGTATACTGACCTCGTATCAACGAAAGACCCCCTAAATAAACGGGAGCTTTCGAGGGCGGTCCGTCTATAGTGTGTGGAGGAACGGCATGGGAGGGGGAGGGGGAACTTAGTCTAAGTGTGACAGGCGAGAAACAACTATTTACCTTTGAAGAACAACGTCCGTCTCAATGAACCATATTCGCCCAAATTTGTTTTTCATTGCGCTTTTCATGGCAATGTTTAGATACGAGGGCAATGATAAGTAGATGAGACCTCATTCCGGATGTGAACACTGAAATTAGAAGAACACTTCTCAAGCACATAAATTCCTGAACACATATCCTCACCCTTAGTTAAGCACCAGTCAGGTTCAGTAAAAGCTCGCATCCTTTCGGCATGGCAGCAAGCGTTCGCGGAACCAGTGGGGCAAAACTTTGTTGGCTTGGACTTTATTAGAATTCGATCCCTTGACCTTGCATGTGATAGTGCGCCACTTGGTTCTACACACCTCCATCCTTATTAATTGCTAGACTTCGATCATACAGTCATCTTTCATATGGGTTTCCCTTCATGTAGAGCTCAAGGTTATTAACGTATCGACTATGAAAAATAGGTTTGCAAATAAGCAGCATGAGCTAGTAGTCGTTAGCCGTTGGATAGGTCATTCAGTTGTTTGAGATAGAGTATGATTTTTCCATTTATTATTGCAAGACAGGAACGACTCCGATCTTTGGACTTTCTCTCTTCACTGGAGGAAATTACAGGTAGGATACTTCTATCTAGGAAAGGTCTGTTAGCAATTTTCAACAAGAGTTATGCCAGCTACGATTTAACATTGACATAACAACATTCTAAGTTGCTCTGTACTGTAGTGTTGGTAGTATGTCCATTGTTGAAGATGGTTCCTCTCCTCTTCCTGAAGATTCAAATAAAAGTTTACAGGCTATGATTATGAAGGCTTTTACCTGTCAAGAACTGGTCAAATTCATTCATTGAAAGATCTTTGCAATGTTTGTACAGTGACCATTGGCACAAACCCTAAAGACAATTTTACACATCAGCTCAGATGACCCTTGAAAACTCTGCCAACGTTTAACTCGTTTTATAAGAGGCACGTCCGGTTTAGTATTTACTATCTTCTAAGATTAACTGTAATGTAGAGTAATTTGAACAGAAGCGATCAAGAATTCCCTTCTCGAAAGCCACATCGGCAAGTGACCAGTAGCTTACGTCGATCCCACGTGTGATTAGAGACTCCACTGTTGCTGATTCAAGTATTCAAACATGACTGTACAGTACATAAGTTGCAGTAGAAAGGGCAGTGGGTATTTCGGAGTATGGCATAGGATACAAAGAGTACGATGGTGTTTTCTACATGACTTTTATGGATCCGATGAAGTTCTAAAAGAAATGAGGTCTCCAATACAAAATTATCAGGGGCTGACAAAGAGATCTGGTTCAATCGGAATGATAAGCGTCAGATATAATGTGATTCTGAAGAGCTGAAAGAATCCGGCTACTGGCGTAACAGTGGTTCACGATGTAATATCGGGACTGATTACGGATTTTTTGCCCTTATGTAGTGAATTATTGCATTACAAAGGTTTCAAAATATTTATCATATTACGCCCATGAACAGGCTTTAAATTATTTAATATGGAATCATTCAATATTGTGTTATGTAACGAAATAATATAACATTGCTTGAATATTCTTTCAGTATTTGTTATGCTACTCTAACTAAATTCGTTTGTCAAGGACATTATTCCGCAGGTAGATACATATGTAATGCACAACTTCTAAGGCGCTCTACTGCTTTGTACACTTGAATGTAATTACCAGTTCAATGATATTATTATATACATCTATTAAGCTATACGTGTAAAGTGCATGGCAGCTTTTGACGATAACTGTTCGTTCTGTGCCCTATACTGTACAATGTTGCGCTTCCAAACAAATGGAATTGGTGACGTATTCAAACTTCACGAAAACATAAAAATACGTTGCTCATTTCAATAATCAACATACGTGAGTAAGGTGTAAGAAATTCCGAAGAGCTGTCAACATTGTTTGCTGTTTGCGAGGGAAACAAATTTGATGAGTAACGCTAACCATTTCGTGCCACCCACGTCCGACAACAGTCCGATGGCGGTTTAAGTTCGGGGCATCTTTGCTTAAAGAGGAAGCAAACATCTGCAATAGGCGACCTTTACCTCAATAAATCCGGAACGCTCATAAATCCTATGCATATGGCCGTAGGCCTGCTATACTAAAGATGCGGACAATTGTCTTTTCAAACAATCATGACTAAGTTGGCAATTCGACAAAACCGTTGTTGTTTTCTCTTCGAGAACGGTTCCTCTGGACGAGTTCAGATAAAGCCAAAGCACACACTTCCGATTGCGTGTGCTGGCAAAATATTCTATTTATACTTACCGTTACTTTTCTTTCAACGAGAAGTCATCGATGTGAAAGTGGCTTCTACTCTGTTATGTCTTATGTTTGAAGTAATCCAACTAATCGTGCAACTTCTTAGGAGTACGTTGAAATGATCGGAACTCCTCGAATATTCAATAATTCAGAGCAGTGAACGATTCCCAAGCAGTTTCATAGTCACAAGTTAGCTTATTCTTCACAGCATATTTACTTTCGGTAAGATAAACATATGTAGCAAAAAGGCGGTTATGTCACCGAGGATGTGTATTAGTTCACGATCCCATAGATCTTTAGCGGAATAGAATTACAGAAGCCTTTGGTCCTACTCTAAAAAGCACATTAGGCTCATAGCTCTGAATGAGGACCTGAAAATTGAAAAAATCAAGGAATTTTAAACAAGAAGCTGTCATCGAAACCAAGAAGTGATACTTACTAGACTCAAGTGATGGGTTTATAGAAGTGGTATGGAACTGGCCTGAGAACACGAGTTCCCATAAGAGTATCCTTGTAAAATTCGTGGTATTGAGAATCAGTTCTTTTTTATTCATTTGTCATCTCGGATTACTTGTAAAAGATTTCTTCAAACCATTTTTTGTGAAATACCTGAAAGTGTTACAATATCTAGATATTGGTCCAAGGCCGAACTTTCATACTACGGTATGCTCTTTACCCTGGGACTAATCCGCGAAGTAACCCGGAAGCGTGGTGCTTCGCTCACTTGCCTCACTCTATTTACTTTGACTTAGTTTTACGGTTGCTTCACATGATACAACGTGTCGACGAGACAATGCCTATCTCTTTGGTGACGGATGATGGGAGACAATTTGAACCTTGAGTTCGTCTCGTTCTAGAATCTTTGCTCCGAACCTAACAATGTGACGCCAGCCGACGATGTGTTTGACCGCTTACTCACAACGCCTACTCCAAAAGCTACGTCATGGGCAACATCTTACCCCTTTCTGAATTAATTATTTGTCTCTCAGTTAAAGAGCAAAAATTAGAAAAGAAAGCTCTTTGAATGGAATCAGAGCGGTTGACAGTAAATTATCCACAACCCTGCCCTACAACAATCGAGGAATCGAGCACTCTGATCAATTATGGCATCATCCATTATACGCTTTCAAGCCATCTACGATATTATTTTTTGTTTTCGATTAGAAGCAGATCCGCTGCGAGTGTAGCCATTGCACCTTCGTTTTCGTTCCTTATATGAGTCTCCTAAATGGTCAGATCTGAGAAACATTCGGAACTTGTATATTAATTGAACTTCATTAGAGAAAACTCATGGAAGAGGCGATAGTTGTGAACATGTTTCTGAGCGTCTTCAATAAATGCGAAGAACCTCTGCATTTGTGTCGTATGGAGGTATAATGATGTTCATGCCGTCGGTCATACAAGGTCAATGCGACCCCAAAGAAACACAAAATCATGAAAACAATTTTCAATGAAACATGGTGTTCTAGGCAGTGAAACTCCATGCTTACTTGAGATTACACTGAAATGATAAATTTTGATTATTCAATCATTCTTGTGGAGTTGTGAGTGTAATGAATCTAAACACTAACATTCTTCGTTTCTCGATCATGAATTTCCCAAAGCGTGCAACAGCGGGGGCCTGATTTGAAGATGATCCTTCTATCCTTATGCGTGATGCTGAAGCCCAATCGAGGGAGGACTTAAGAGTTATCTGAAAATGACTAGTTTCTGCGTGTATCGGCTGCCGGCTCAGTATGTTATATGCATGTGGAAGTGCTGGTAAGCTATGACTGAAATGCCATTAGGAGGGCGAGGACAAGTGGTGATTCAGAAGGGCAGTGGCTAAAAGCATAGGATGCAGAGTCCCATAATCATGCGCGGCTAAATTTTCCAAAAAACTCGCTACCAAAGTGAAACTTAAGGAGATCAACGCTTTATAAGGGCATATGGCATATTTTCTTATCAAAAATAAGAACAACTGTGTTACACATTGGACCAAAAAACAAACCCCCAACCCTTGTTATAATTATGGCACCCCTACCAAGAAAGTTGATCACCAACAAGACTTGGGTTTCATCATCTCCAAAAATCCTGACATTCCCAAAGTCGAATACTGGAAACATGCATTTGAC